GTTCAACCTCACCAACTGCTCCTTGGAAACCCTACACAGGGTTTCTATGAGTTGGAACCGACTCAACAGCACTTACCAACAACAATTCCACATTTGATAGATTATCATAACTGCCTTTATTACATCATTCACTTTATTGCAGTGTCATGGAACTTAACCCACAGTATTTCCGAGGTGTGTTGTACACAGTAAAAAATTTAAAAACCTAGAAAGAAATACTCAAAAATATAAAAAGTAGATCTCTCTGAGAGGAAAAATTAATGATGCTTTTTATTTTCCTGGGCTTTGACACGGTTTTAATGCTAATAATACTGTAACTAAAAAAAAAAGTTTTAACTCTATATATTATTAGAGGAAACAAGCATAATTTAGTGTTTTAAAACCTGAACAAAGTCTTCAAGACTCTGAGACTAGAAGAACTACATGGTGGTCAACTCTGAAAGGGATCACATTAGAAGGTACCACAGAGTGGGAGACAATGTGGAACAAAACCCAAAACTATAAAAAAAAAAAAAAAAAAGACTGGTCTTAACAGTCAAAAAGACACTGGAAGAACCCAAGACTATGGGCTCAGTCACCCTTCAGATTGGGAACAGAACTCACCCATGTGGCCAAATTTTCAACCAAATAGCAGATAGGACAACAACACTAATCAAGTATGTTCCCCATGGAATGGTCAGCCATTCAAGATCAAAAGGGCAACATTTACCTGGGGACAAGATTCAGAGGGATTGGGAAGGAGGGTGGAATGGAAATACAAAACACAGGGAGGAAGTGGGATGAATGCTTTACATGGAGAAGATTGTATTCACTGAGATGAAACAAAGTATGTGATCTGTTGGATATAAATCTAATGCTCTGCTCTGTAAACATTCACTCAGTTCACAATAAAAAGTTTCAAAAAAAAAGAACTAAATAAAGTCTGAGTTCAGTCAGACATGTCTCAGTTTAAATCCTGTTTTAGGGCTTCCTAACGATATGATCTGAGACAAGTTATTTAACCTTTGTAAAAGTCACAGTTTCCCTAGCTGTAAAATGGAGGTCATAATAATTCTAAAAACAATTGGTTCCTGAGAAAGAACACTGACGTGAATCCACTTAAAATATAGATCAAAATGTGTTATTAAAGTGGAAGCAGTGTATAGGCTCTACCTTGAAAAACATAAAAATTATGAAAATGCATAATTTTTTGTTTTACAAAAAATCTATTATTCTAATAAATACCACTTATTTTTAAAGGGGGTTAAGAGCTCTGGTAGTGTAGAGGTTACAAATTGTGATGCTAACCTCAAGATCAGCAGTTCAAAACTACCAGCTATTCCACAGGAGAAAGATGAGGCTTTCTGCGCCCGTAAAGTTTTACAGCCTCGGAAACCCCATACAGGGTTGCTATGAGTCGGAACCAACTCCATGGCACATAACTACCACCACCATTTTTAAAGGGAGGGAGACCCCTTCACAGCAAAAACATCAACTTATTTGCAAAAAAGAGAATGGAAACTCAACTACAAAAAAAAATCTTCAAAATGTTGGTTAACTAAAAACTAAACATACCTATAAGTTCAGATGGATTTCTCTCATTAAAGCGCTCACACAGACGAATAAATGTCTCAGTGTTCTCAGTTGTAGGACACTCACCATGTCTAGTAATACAGGAAAAAAAAAAAATTTTTGACAAAAGAAGAGATCCTAGATTTCCATCAAAGTTTTCAATAATTAAAGAATCTGTATACATGACTTACCCTTTACACTGAAGCTTTATGTATTTGATTCCTTCTTTTTCTATGTCGTTTCTATCATAAAACCTTGAAGTATTTGTCAGGTCCACCAATAAGCCCATTTTAACCTTTAAAAAAAAAACAAAAAAAACAGGGTGTGTGTGTGTGTGCAGACCAACTAATAATTTAGTTTGTTCCAAAATAAGTGGTTCTAAGGGAATACTACACATCATCCTTTTACAGCAAGGAAGATTTTACGCTCACTCTCCTACTGAACTATTAACAGCAAAATAGTCACTTATCTAAGTCTTATCCAAGGCACTAGAACTTGGAATAAAATAAATGAATTAATCCCAAACTAATGAAGAGTCCTGTGTGGCGCTGTAAGAGATGGACCGAAACATCAGTTTGAACTGTAAGGTCAGTGGTTCAAATTCACCAGCCACTCCTTGGTAACCCTACATAGGGTCGCTATGAATAAGAACTGACTCCATAGCACTTAACAACAACAATGAAGAAACAGAAGCAAAAGCAAAATAGACTACACTCCCAATATCACAAAACTCTGCAGAGCACTGAGTGTATCTGGAGTTCCCAGAGAACACTGCTGTAGTTTTCTCCAATTGTTTCTGCAACTAGGATTTATGAGGTAAGAGCAGGAAGGCATCTATCTGTATACTCACCAGCCCAGCCTGCAGGCACACATCAACCTAGCATTCCAGGTAGGCATCACGCTGATGAAACCTATTTGTCATTCCCAGACTACAGCATACTACATTCCTGGCTTAAAAGATGAGATAAGTTATTTATACCATAAATATATACAAGGGGACTTCAAAAAAATCCCATTATCTTTTCATTCCATTTTTCCATGAACTTTTTCAAGCCCCTTCGTAAAATATTTCCCCTTTTCCATTTTGATTAATAACACTTTCTTTGTATTTTCTGAAAACATATTGAAGCTTAAAGTTCCATTTCTTGAAAAGAGAGGTTAAAAATGGAGACTTTTAATATGAAAATGGCAGTAAGACAGCAATTTCCCTCTTTTCTTCCTAAATACACAAAAACAGGGTAAATGGGGGAAGGAGCAAAAGAACTTTAATCCCAATTTTCAGTGAAACCAGGTTTATAAAATCCACACATTCAACCAAAAAAGTCTTGGGCTGCCAAAAGGAATTAAGATCACTGCAGAAGCTATGTGAGAAGAGAACATGAACAGGCCCAGGGGTACTATGAGTCAGACTTTACTGGTTGGGAAATTATGCAGAGATAAAAGTGCAAAAGTTGATACCAATGTACTAATTAGGCATTTATTGACTCCTGCAAACTATTTACACTTTCTCCTAAGTGCCAGCAATTTTTTACTAAGGAGATTCTACCTGGCTGCACCAAACTTAAGACAATTTGCACAGCCTGGGATAACAGCTGGTGAGAAGAGGGGTACAGAGTTATTGCTTTTTAGGGTTACTTGAGTTTTGTCTGGAGTAATCAAAAGCTTTTGGAAACAAATAGTGGTGATGGGTGCAAAACACAGTGAACATTAGTAGTTTCATTAATTTTGTTGTTGTTGTTGTTATTGTTGTGTGCCATGGAGTCAGTTCCAACTCATAGACCCTGTACAGTTTCCGAGGCTGTAAATCTTTACGGGAGCAGAAAGCCTCATCTTTCTCCCGCAGCACAGCTGGTAGTTTCGAACTGCTGACCTTGCGGCTCGCAGCCCGATTCATAACCACTACGCTACCAGAGCTCCTTATTAATTTAGATACTTTAAATGGTTAAAATATCAACTTTTTTATTGTATATAAGTTACCACAATAATATGAAATTTTAAGTGAAAGGGAAACTTCACCATATCAAATTGTTAAACTTCTGGATTTTTAATCAAATGGATACACTGTCGTGTGTGTGTGTGTGTGTGTGTGTGTGTATTTTAAGATATATTGATATATACAATTCTAATCTAGTACCCTGGTGTAGCACTATGGGTTACTGTGCTGAACTGCAAAGTCAATTTGATCCGCAAGGTCAGCAATTCAAGCTCACCAGCCGCTCCTCAGAAACCCTATGGATCGAAACTGACTCAATGGCATTAACAACAGCAAAATAATCTAGTACCAACCACAACTCAGTTGATTCTGATTCATCCTTCTGAGTTGATCTCTGCTTTGAATTTAATTGGCTCAGCAGATACACTGAAAGCCACTGCTCTTTTGTTGTGTAGGCACATTTTGTTGTGTAGGCACCCTAATGAAACTAAGCCAAGTGTACTACTGAGAAAACATGTCTGCAGCCATTCACTGATGTCAGAAACACGTTTAAACATGTATTGTTTGTAATAAACTTGTGCATTTATAAACTGGAACCTAGACGCAAGATTTTTTTATCTGCCCATATATATGAACAATAGTGTTAAATGAAAGAGTATAATGTAACAACTGTTATTAATATGTGCCATCACAGCATCCCTATATAGGGTTTCTGAGGCTATAAATCTTAAAGGGAGCAGAAAGCCTCATCTTTCTCCTAAAGATGGTAGGTTCGAACTGCTGATCTTGTGGTTTTCACAGACATTCTTCACTAGTTAAGCTATTATTTGATTGTAATCATGCCTATTTTTAAAAGCAAAAGATAAAAGTCATTAAAATAAAATCACATCTTGTTGTTGTTATTGTGGTTGTTGCTAAGTGTCATTGAGTCAGTTCTGACTCACAGTGACTCCTCTGTATGGCATTTCCTAGGAGCAAATGATGAGCTTGAACCACCAATCTTGAGGTTCAAACCGACTTAGTAGTCCAGAGCATTAACCTGCACCACACCAGTACTCTAAAATCATATCTTCTTTTTGTTGAGTGTGGTCAAGTCAGTTTCAACCCATAGAGATCCTGCAGAGGGTTTCTGAACGTGGTAAGCCTGAACCACCGTCCTTGCAGTTTAAATGGACTTTGTAGTCCAGCACATTAACCGAAAGCACCACACAGGACTCCAAAATTACATCTTGGTGGTGGTGGTATTATGTGCTGTGGAGTCGGTTCTGACTCACAGCAACCCTGTACAGAGTTTCCAAGGCTGTACATCTTTACGAGAGCAGAAAGCCTCATCTTTCTCCTGCGGAACAGCTGGTAGTTTCAAACTGCTGACCCTGAGGTTCGCAGCCCGAATCGTAACCACTATGCTACCAGAGCTCCTTAAAATTACATCTTAGGCAGAGCTAAATTCTAATGTAAGTGTACAGAGTAAAAGTGTGCAGAGTTGAATTTCTCTTGTGAGTCCCTTAAATAATCAGTAAGTGACAGTACATATGGTTCTAAGTGTACATCTCATTAGAGACTTAATACCATCTCTCATTAAGTACATCATAGCCAGCTTCTCTTCCTGAGGTTGGAACAAAAATAATTATTTCTTCAGCTGATCACTAAAAAAAGTAGTTGGCTTGTGTTCAGGGGACCAATGTGGTGTGAAAAATCTTAAAGACTAAAATCATATTCAATCTGGCAACAAAAATACACTCCCAGATGATGCCATATGTAATCACATTAAGAAGTGCAAAGAGACAAACTGGGTATGGCTAAGACACCACAAGGAACAAAGACAAACCATCCCAGCTAATGTCCCCTTAGATCAGCTAACCGCAGCAAACCATGCAGTTAGCCATAGATGCAGAGTAATTGCAACTAAGGGCACTTAAAGAACTTCCTAGCTGATCCCAGAGGAAAACACAGATCTAAAAAATTATGAGCAAAATATATGACTGTTGTTTTATACCACTGTTTATGATGACTCTTTAAGCAATAAAGGCTAAATGACCAGGATTTCTCTAGCAAAGAAATAAGTGCAAATAGGAACTTAGACAAAGCCAGGGAATAAGCTAGCGTACACATCTTCCTCCTCATTCTGAAGCAAATACTCTCTGGGAAGAAAAGTAAGAGAAACAATTTATGCTGTTCATAGTTGCAATTTTTGTCTGTTGTTTTTGCTTTAGTGAATGATTATTTTGGTTTACATAATTATTAAGGTCATCATAATGATGTTGTTATGTATATCAAGTTGTTGTTATTAGATGCCATCATGTCAGTACCAACTTATAACAACCTTATGTACAACACAAGGAAACACTGCCTGGTCCTGGGCCAACCTTGTCGGGGACCAGCCTCGACACGAGTGTTTGGTTCACGAGGAGGGGATATCTGGTGGCGATAGGGATAGCAAAAGAATACACAGAAAGACAAACAGAGGGAGACAAAGAGACACCCCGAAATCACAAAGAGATCACCAGGGTGATCACTGGTGGGCAGACTTGGGACTACAGGCATCGTGGCCTCTGCAGGCAGCAACTCACTGCTCTGCACACTGTACTGCATGCCCTCCAAGCTGTAATGCACACCTGGGCCGGCCTGCGCCTCTGTTTTATTTAGGGGAGGAGCTTCACACCAAGCTGGGAGGGACTAAGACAAGGTACAGCTAGCATACGTAATTCTCCCGACATTCAAGCAACTTTACATCGTACTTCGCTGGTTCAAATCCCAGGCCCGCAACTTGGTTTCTCAGGCTCAATGAACATATTTATAGCCCCTGAGCTCAGTTGGAAGAAGGTAAAAGGGAAGGACAAAAGACTTGGGAGGAGTCCCGCTGTTTTGGCTTCCTGAGCCAGGTTTTCAGGAACTTTGGCTAAATAGCCTGCACCTGGGACAGGTTTAGGGAGGATGTCCTTTTGTCTATAGAACAAA